GTGGCACTGTGTTACCCACACAAGAAGCGTATCCGACGTCTTCCTCTTCAGTGAAGGTCTGGACGACCGTGTGTGGAACTCTGTTACCCACCTTCGACACGCTATTACCATCGTTCGTGATAGGTGCAGCTGTCTGCGGAACTATGTTACCCGCTTGTGGACCTAAGCTACCCACTTGGTCAGCGTCGCCTAGCGTCGCCACCATCGCAGCGTCCTCGGAGTCGTCATTTACGCCGACGACTCCCAAACATCGGCTGTATGCTTCGGTACCCGGTAGTCCTTGCGATCGCCCCGGGTCCTGACAGAGGTGGGACATGACTCACTAATACTCTGTCGGACTTTGCAGGGCGGCTGGCACCGATTGCCTTGCCCCACCAGTCGATTCAGGGCTCGTGCTTCTCGATCCAGGGTATGCCCAGGGTCAAATTGTAGGGATCCATGTTGAGAACAGTAAACTGTTCTGGGCTGTCCAAGTCCTCGAAGTTGACGGTCAGATCCATTTGGATGTTGGGGACAGTGACGACCTTCCCGTCATCCAGTCGCACGGACACCGTCCTGTTGCATTTGCTTTCTCTCAAAGCATCGGACAACTTGTTGCTATTACGAGCTGCCGTCTGGCGGCGTGCGAAATTTTTTGACACCCCAGAAGCGATCAAGGTTCTAAAGGGGTGATCATATCCCCGTACACATCCGTCTACTACGAGCAGCCCGCCGCTGCTTTTCGCCGATTCGAGAGTGCGAAGACTCTCAGGGGCTAAGTCTCCGTGGTACGCGCCACCCGCGCACCCCTCACGAAGACTGAGTTCTCCCCCAGTAGGGCGCTCCGCCCCTACTGGTCTCCGGCGTTCCTCTGTCGCCGGGATCCTGGCGTTTGCCAGCGACCCTTGAGGGCAGACTTGAGGAAAGTCCGCCTGTGGTGTCTCTCCGCGGGACAGCCACGCTTGAAGTGTCCCAGCTTCCCATAGCCGAAGTAGCGAATGTCGCGCTGTTTGACGGACCCGAGCTCCATGGGATCTGGTCTGGTGGGTTTGGCCCGACCGGAATTCAGTACGCCTGGCGATAGCTGTACTCTTCTTGAAGAGCCACTTGAATCGCCTCCTTGAGGGTGCTTGACTGCATCAGGAACAGCTGAGTGCACGTCGGGTCCACTCGAAGGCCGTCCATGAACACAGTCACCTTGATGTGCTCGCTGAGTGGATTACTAACTAGGGACGCCGTGAGCTACCGCATCTCTTGGGCGTACTCGTGCAACTCGCGCCTTCCTTGATTGCATGAGAGGAAGTGCGAACGCTGCCGGTACTCGTAGTTCGCCGGAAGGAACGCGGCTCGGAGCTCATTGCACTGCTGAGCCCAGGATGCGAAACATCCAGGTGATGTTGCCTGCCGCGTGTACGCCCAACTCTTAGCACGACCGCTAGGGTTGGAGAGCCCAAAAGCAACTCGGAGATGCTCGGTCGAGATCAGAGCCGCGCCCATCGCGAGCTCTACCTCTCGAACACAGAAGTGAGGGTTCTTACCTTCTTTCCCTTCATACGGTTTCACCTTCAGCCGTATTGGCTTCGGGTGTGGCGGACTTGTTTCCGCCGCCGGAGTCTGCAAGTTTTTCCGCGCATGTGCGATGAGCCCTCTATCGTAGGCGTCAAACGCATTGACACGCTCGAGCTGCTCGGTCGGTGTTGATACCACCAGGCTCTGTAGGGCCTCCATCCCGAAGAAACCAGCAATCTTCCGAACCGACTCGAAATGTGAGTCGTTCAGATGGGATAAGTCGTTCCTATCCATGGCGACGAACTTCAGTGAGGCTCAGATAGTCTACCCGCGTTGGTGTGGATTGACTATAAGTGCTACCAAGTGTGACGTGATAGCACAGCATCTTTCGCTAGAGGAAGTCGGCTTCCGAAAGTATACAAACTCTCAGTAAACAGTAGCTCACAGGTCCCTTTTGTCGAAGGGAGCGAAGTGACCAATTTAATTAAGTTGTAAACTGAATGTATTTATAGGTAGGCTAAGCTTAATTTAAATAAACAAAATTAAAGTTACCTATAGTAAAGCTATGTCATCAGTCAATGGTTGTCCTCTGACGAACCTGGTATCATGTACCAGATATCCCGACATTTAGCTAGGGGTACACTGGGCATTACGTACCCCGACTTGTTCTTTGCAGTCTTGTTTGGTGGTATCCTAGTAAAGCCTATGTTATGGCTGGCTCTCGGAGTGCGTGGTACCATGTACCACACGTCCATGACGTGGCGTTGGCGGTGGTGTGTTACACCACATGTAAGCATTCCACCCGAACTTCAGATTTATTATGAGTGCTACAGACAACGGCGGCAATCCGTGGAACCTTCCTTCAATATCAATAAATGTGCGGCTTCCAATGACCAGCTGCATAAAAAATTAAATTAATTCTTCCTCTCACCCCTCAGTTAAAAGGAATACAATAACAGGCAGTGTGGGATGGTAAAATGCCAATTAGGGGCCGGTGGCCAGTTAAGGGCCGGATTCGGTTAGCCAATAGGCAAATCGGAATTTCAGGCTTATCTGATTTTATTGGCCACTACTAAGGTATCATATAAGAGATTACTTAGCAGCCCATAGCGGCCCTAATTGGCACGGCCGTCACATTTTATGCACTGTTTTAATTTGTCCTACTGAACGCACCATAGCTGATGTAAAACAATTCAATAACCAGGGAAATATACAATTGTGTCAGCTTTTGATTGGTGCCAAGGCCATATTTTACTTTTTACTAGATCAAAAGATACAGCAAACAAGAGAAGGTTGCCTTGAACGGCCTTTAATTGGCATTTTCCCTTTACGAGTAAGTCCAAATATACTGGACACCGGAAGGCATCGAATAGTTGCAGCTCCAATCTTTACTTTCACGAGCGTTTCTGGTCGTTGTATCACTGATCTCCTCACACAAGATTCCTTTTACCCGCCGACGACATTCAGTAGCACTCTCACGAACAAAACATTGAGCAACTCAGCCCTGACAGCAACAACCCGTTCGCAAGATCAAACGTGGTGGCTGCTACGATAACAAACGAACATGCCAAGTTGTTGGAGGCTATTGACACGTATAACCAATTTTAAAGGTTTGGCAGTCTTCATAGTACCTACTTTTTACTGCTGGTTTGATTGTGGCGAGCTCTTGGTAAACTATGATCCCTTTTTATGGTAGATAGGAATCTAGGTCCCTGAAATAGGAATAAATTGCGGTCTCCCGACGCTATGACTACCGAGGGAATTCTCTGCATTATGCTCGTTGAGTATCAATGAACAGCTCTAGATGAGCCTAGTCGAAAATGGTTTGAGTATGGTGACCGTGAAGTTCACGGTAAACATAACATGCATGTGTCTGCTCCTTCTTACAAAGCTGAGGACGTTTCTTAAACGTGACAGAAAATACGTCCGGCACGGATCGGGGCCCTATCCATGCCGGACGTATTTCGGAATGGCGGCATGGTTACCCTATTTGGGCAGCCAAGCCGCCTGTACAAAGTAGAGGACCTACGAATTACATTTCTATACATGTATTATTTTAAAAGTAATATAATAGCAGTAGTAAATGATCGCGAGTTGCTCGCCTAGCTGATATCCTGAGCGTAATGCAGTCCACATCTGTGGTATTAACATTAATCGACCCCATGACGACATCGAGCATGCATCCCTATATCAATGCCCACGATCGTCAACGGCGTAATTTACGCGGCAGACATCTTCGAGTGATACTTTAGTCTCGCGTCTAGTGACGACTCGTGACGACACGGGCGTACTGCATTGTGGTCAAGAATTGGCCATTATGCAAGTGGCATTTCGCTTACTTTTAAGACTTTTTAGTACCAGTATACTTTTTTCCAACACCAGCATAAAAATTTTCTTTGTTTATGTAGGTTTCTTTTTCAGACAACACGTTAGCAATCCGTGTTATTTTGCTGGAATCTTGACGTCGAAAGCTTTTAAGAAAAGAAAGTTTCGACGTCAAGATTCCAGCTATTCCCTTTGTAATCGGGGGCTTCAAACTTGGCGGTTGGCAAACGATAGCGGCGATGCAGCACATTATTTACTTTACCTCGCTCCAGCCTCGAAAGATCGATAATTCTGGACGTAGCTTGCTAGCATTTCTGCAACGTCGTCGTTGTTAAACCTTTCTTGGCCGAGCTTGAGCTTGATGTCCTTCATCCTGTATTTGTTCCATTTTTTAAACATCTCGCGCTTGAATGGCTCGTTTTGAAGCATTTTATCGACAGGTTCTGGGGAGACAGCGTTAGTCAGAATCTGACTAATACAGTATTATACGGAATTGACGGTGGGCCCGCGCAATAATAAAAAGGGAAATTCCACAATTACCGATAAAAAAAATGCAGTAAGTATTGCAGTATTGCCTACAGCTCTGCGTCACTTCCAGCTGAAGCTATCCTCGTCACATCCAATAAATCCCTGTTTGCATGCAAAAACATAATCAGCTCAAAATTGGCAGGTAACGTGCATGTTCGCTAAGGGGTAAGCACCAGCTTGCACTGCGAGAATAATCGCTCGCATGCATTTGATGTTGGGGGTAGCTGCTTCTACAACTCGCTGTAGATAATATCACCACTGTCTCCTCCATGCTTAGCGCTCTTGCTTGGACCAGCACAAAGAATATGCGTCGCGTAATCTTCCTTGCATGTCCTCATCTGCTTCAGATCTCGAATCACTTGACCGCTGCAGCTTCTGCAGCTGAAAGAACACCTCCGTTGACCATTGCAAGTTGCTACTCTGAGATAATGATTGGCTATCAGATTCATAACTAAGAGCTAGTATGGGCAATACAGACATCAAGATACGGTGCTGAGACGTCCAACTGTTTCGTAAGGCATCTAAAGTTTCTATGAGCCTACTTTTGTAAATTATACTGGAAATATTGGAGCAATATCATATTCATATTTTTAAGAAGGTTGCAGTAATCCGTTTTTATATTTTATAAAACTGATTATAGTGATACTGAAATTTTTTATTCAGACCCCTGAGTCAGATCCTTTGTTGCCTTCTCGTCGTCTTATGTCGCGCCTTTTCTGGTACCAGTTTCTGAACATCGTCTTGATCCGTTGCATTGCATCAGACAACTTGGTAGCTCGATCTTCGGTGTTGGTGTTGTCGCCATTGTTCTTGTCGTAGCTCGATAGAGGTCTATCGCTGACATTCGTGGAGGTCGCTTGTCCAAGTAGTCTGGACTTGTCAGAAGCCGCAAATGTGGCTCTGACGCTTGCAACATATACGACTATCAACACCAAGAGAACGTTTGCTAGGCGCATTGCTTAGTCTCGACTGCACTTAGCGAGTAGAGGAGAGTGTGCTCTCGAAGACAAAATGGAAACTGGAAGATCTGATGGGAGTTCTCAAATCTCACATTTATCCGCCCAGATTGATCACTTTGAATTACTTGAAGACTTCCAGTAATTCAAATAACCATTATTACTTCAAGTTGAAGCACTAATGGTTATTTTGTCATTCGTGCTAAGTACCGGTACAGTAAATACTACTGTATTAATAATGATTATTTTGTCATTTGTGCTACTGTAAGTATACCGCTTATTATTCCGGACCTAGATTCTTATCGCAGGATGTCAGTTGTAAAAGGGAGTACAATAATATTGTACGGCCAGCATGGAATACTTGCAGCTCCAATCTTTACTTTCACGAACGTTTCTTGTCGTAATATCACTGATCTCCTCACGCAAGATTCCTTAAACCCGCCGACGGAGCAGCTCAGCCCCCTGACAACGTGGATACAACAACCCGTTCGCAAGATCAAACATGGTGGCTGTTACGATGGCGAACGAACATGCCAAGTTGTTGGAAGCTATTGACACGTATTACCAATTTTAAAGGTTTGACAGTCCTCATGGTACCTACTTTTTACTGCTGGTTTGATTGTGGCGAGTTATTGGTAAACTATGATCCCTTTTTATGGTGGGGATTAGCTTAAATTTGTTTGCAGCTGGTCATCGGGAGCCGCACATTTATTGTGCATCCCTGTTCTAGGAATTACTACCGAGCGCATTGTCTGTACGTTTTTATCGAATGAAAGTTTAATACCATTAAAAACATGCCGGCTTGGGTAAAGGAGAATAGAGCGACGTCGAGACGCTTTAGATGTCCCGTGGCACCTCCGATGGTCGCTCCTCAACATCGGCGTCGCTTACATTTTTTCTTTGATATTACTGGTACATGTCATTTACCAGTAGTATCACCGGTACCTAATACATGTAACTAACATCATTCTGTAGCAATTATGATTTTAGCGGTGGAGATAAACACTATATGATATCTGATACTTGTTGCGATTCTTGTTCTTGAGCTAACGCATTAGTAATCTTGTGGGTGGCGCGCGCGAAACTGTAAATGAAAGGGACGGCATGGCTACTGGCGCGCGCGTCCTGTGATAAAACCTCATAAGGTTTTCTTTTCAACTAATGATTCGAGCAAATTATTTTGTTTCAATCCGGCCATATTTTACGGCATGATCAGCCGTAAACAGTCTTTGAGTAAAGGACCGTAAACGGCTGCATTATTGTGCCTTTCCAAAGTTTTGGCCAATCTGACCTTTAAAGGCTGGTCCTAAGCAAGGGTGGGTAGGGCTAAAGGTGGGATTTGATGGAGTTGAATTGCTAACTAAACCAGGCCACTAAATAAAATAATATTTGATTAATAACACTGTTTAATTATGCCGACTATGATCCAATAATACTTGATTGTGGAGGTCCTACGTATGGGCTCCAATTTGGTCTAAAGGGAACCTTTTAGCAAATTAAGGGCTGAATGGCCAGTATTTGCCGGCCATTTACCCTTACGTAAGGGATCCACAACATTTTGATCTTAAATCAAATATGGCTACTCATCAGACATACTGCCGCTGGCGAGGCGTTGTCTTGCCGTATGTCTATAATATTGAGATCAGCGTAGTTGCCGGTGTACTGGGCGTCTCGGCCAGAAGCCTGTGGAGATGGTACCATCTCTTTAAGACAACAGGAAATGTAGACGACACCCCAAGGAATGAGCGGTTATCTAAATGGCCGATTGAAGCGCAACAATTTGTTCGCGAGTATGTAAAGCAACAGCCCTGCTTCGACTTCCAAGAGCTGCGTGAGGTATTAAACGAGAAGTTTTCAGCCCAACATTGCTGTTCCAATTCGACAATTTGTCGTGCTTTACGGATCGACTTGGGGTTAACGCGAAAAGTGTTGACTAAAAGAGCTCGTGAAAGTATCCCAAAAGAACGCCAAGAGTATGTGAACAGGCTATTGCCTTTCTACAGCGGGCCAGATCAAATCGTGTTTGTCGATGAAACTTCATAGGATGGAATGTATTGCACAATATCAATTTTGTGACTGCTACATCTTACCTTATTAATGTGTTGTATGGTATTGGTATGTTTTAGGTCCTCCCTGAGAAATCACGCGTGGTCCGCGCGCGGAGACCCAGCGGCTGTGTCCATTCCATTTTCCCGCAAAAAAGCAAATCTCAGTCCTTGCTGCGCTCGACGTTGAAGGATTTTTTGCGTGGGGTACAACCGAGGATACTTTCACCCGGCAGACGTTCCACGAGACTTTCAAGCTGAAAATTCTACCATTCCTCAATCCATGGCCTTTACCAAGATCAATTGTCATTTTGGACAACACCAAAATTCACATGTACGAATCATTTCAAGAACTTATTCACGGTACTGGTGCACTGTTTTTTTTTCTGCCGCCGTATTCACCGGACTTGAATCCTATAGAAGTCGGATTTTCGCTTCTAAAACGATGGATCCAGCGCCACGCAAATATAACGTTCCGTAAAAATCCTCTTGTGGTCCTCAATGTCGCGCTGTATTTTTGCACTAGACAGTCTGAGGAAGTTGAACAAAATTGGTACGGCCCCTGTGGGTACGATGGGAGCAAACGCAGTATAAAAATCAGTGAGTTTTACTGAAATTCATGTATTCGTACTGAAAACATCGTACGCAACCTCTACTACGCTCCTTAGAGTTGATCGGTCAGGTGTCGACATCATCCATGTCTTCTGCAGGAGCGGGAGTCTCAAACTCTACCGGGTCACGGAACGGAGGGCGAAGGCTGTAGGCCGGTAAGCCGTGCATTTCCTGGAGATCCCCAACATGAACTTGCACTTGGATCACTGCACCTTAAATGTTGATCCTGAGCATTCTGAAATACATGTCAGCGCTTGCTTGAGCTTATCTTGATTTGTCTCCATTTCCTGCGAAAGCTGATCGAAGTTCCGAAGTTGTCGAAATGTTGTGTTATCAGGAGCTTGTTGTGAGCGTCAGCTGGAAGTCGATCTTGTACTGTTGCCATGTACAGTGTGAGGCTGGCCCACTCAAATATTGCGCTCAGCTAGCATCGCTGCTACACGAGGAGCTTGTTCTTGGATTAGATTTTCTGTTTCTCTTCGAATATTGTTGGCTCTTGGTTGTGGTGCTCTTCGAACATTAACAAAAATCATACAACAAAATCAGACTGACCGTGTAGACGAAGGCGAGCTAATTCCTAAGATGTGGCGACGCGGCTAGATTAATTTTTCTCGTCCAACTCGAGAAATTCACGTTGTGGTGCGTGCTTGGTGGGCTTGAGATAGGCGCTGAAGCCATCCTGCCAATCATATGGCAGACGACGGATGAATTCGGCTGCTACTTGAGCCTTGCGTAGCCGTAAGCCACGGTCAATCTGAAAGGAGAAGTCGATGGGCTCGGTCTTGTTTCCGCACGAAGTGAGAGGATCGCCGTTCTTGATGGCAAGACGGCAGGTAAGAGTTGCAGGTAGTGGCATCGACATTGTAAAAATAAAAGTGAGCCTTTAAGCCAAAGGATGCCAGGACGTGGGAGAATACTCACGGTAGAGCTCGACAAAATTTAGGACATCATGTCGAAACGGGATGGATTTTTTGAAATGTCATAAGATGTGGACACAATCGGTTTCGGTTTTGTTAATCTATGTTAAAATTTGTATTGAAACCACGATCTGTATATTTGCAATAAAGTAGGGATTTAGCCAATCCAGAACGTTTGTGCTCAGGGAATTATCCTATCTGCCGTCCGCCGAACGCCGATTGGACAGAACCTCCAGGTGGTGCAATTATTCCCGAAAATCCTATCCCGACTAATCCAAATGAGACTCATCCCCGAAGGGATGTGGCGTGCCGACCCAAACACTTGGTTACGTCTCCGATCCGACGAAGGACTTGCACACGACACTTGCCTCAAGCATCGAGCTGAACCCACGCCACCTGCTAGCTGACGGGCTAATCACGCGCATGCAAGTCAGTTGCCCAGAATGCATACTAATATTTTAATGAAATTTTGTCAAATCTGGTCAAATATTTCTTTGATTGGCATCGTCTTTTTTTCGTCAAAGGGTTAAGCTAAATTTTAGTCGACAGCACATGATCAGATAGGAGGTCTTCAGTAAGGGCCATCCTCCTACGTAGGACCATAAAACTGAGGGCGTTTTGGCAGAAAGGCACAATAACACACTCCGCAGGAGGCAGGACTCCTGCCAAGAGGGGCGTAGCATTGGTATTACAGAATAACAGAAAGGTGTTGAAGTAGGATAAATGGATGGCAGCGTGGCTGCAGCCAGCTTTAAATAAGTAGGGACTCAGTCTCGAGATGGCAACGAGGATAAACAGCTTCCACAGCAAGAGCTAAGATCATAAAAAGTCAGTATTTTCTGATTACAGCTCTGTCTACTGCTAGTGCTGGATCGTACAGTAACAATAACTATATCGAAATTCGATTCAAATGCCACTTTCACAAATAATTTCCCAGACGACGCTCTACATGTAGTTGGTTGCTTTAAGAAGAGAAAATACGAAGCCGATGAAATTGCAAAAACAATTCTTAGACGGAATTCGTCGGACATCTGGCAGACATAAGCAAAATTATGAGAGATCCAGTCAGTTCTAACAGGTTTACCGCTCCCCACGGCGCTTAATTCTGTGGAACGCGAGGATGCCGCGAGACGTTGGATTACTGGGTTCCCAGGAGGTAGTCGTGTTGACTGCTGACGTCTGCGCATGCGCGGAACGTGTGACGTCTGTGCCTGTGGGTGCCTGATGCGTGTGCTTTGTGGAGGGGTGCTCCACAAAGCTGTATGTTTGTATACCTTGTATCTGAAAGCGTCGAGTGACGGACTGCGGGAGAGTGCACGACAGCTGAGATTTGACTGGTTTGTCAAAGTTGGATGCAGCAAAGATCGAGTGGACAGTAGTTAGACTCTGTCTTACTAAAATACAAGGATATAATTTGGGAGTGAAA